ATAAGTGTAGAATGTAGTAGTAGTAGTAAACCTGGTTTACAGGTTCCCATTGTGACCATATTATCTCTGAAGCTTATTTGTGATACTTGTCATCCAGAGAATTTTCCCCACAGTTTTACTGTGTTCATACGTGGAAGAAAAACCATGAGGCAAGACACTGGGAGCTTTGACCCTGTGCCTGAAAAACTGGTGCTGACTAGAGTTTTATTCTTAACCTCATGAAAATAATTTCCCAGCCAACCATGATACTTACAGAGTCCCTGAAACACCATTATGAAAAATATCTTGATTCTGTAGCTTAAAAGGACAAAATTGCACATGTACCACAGATAAAAGCAATAATGATTCATACAAGAACAGCAATTTCTCATCACACAATTAAAATTATTCTTATTGAGAACTGTAGTTAGGGCCCCCAAATGGGGCCAGTCTTTATGGAGAAATCAGGATTACAAGTCATATAGATTTTTAAGATTATAGTTTTGCTCTAAGAGATTGTGATCAGACATATTTTTGCTGAGGATTAAGCACGGCAGTAAAAAATATCAGAAAAGTATTATAATACACATGCACAGACACATCTAGAATGTACAGAGAAAAGTTGTCTGGATTTCAGATTCCTATGAATTCATGTTATTTTCCCTACTGTAATCCTTAGAAGTTGTTATACATGTTTATGATATATATCGTATTATGTTAATCAATTTTAGTTAGAATTCTTTTCCATTCAATAACATTTGCTTTGAGAGAATAGTCATTTAATTAGTATTTAATGAGCATGCAATGTGGGCTGAGACTCATGGAAGCACTTTATAGATACAAAATGAATAAAGTTGGTTTATGTCATGAGGAAAACCAATGATGGAGGAAAAGTATCATAATGAACATATGCTGTTAGTACTTAACTAGAGGTGGCTGCTTGCTACTACAATTTCAGCTGATAAGGATAAAGTTTTAGTTGATGCTATAAAATAAGACAAAGTTAGAAAATTCTGACCATCAGAACTGAGTACTACAATTTTGATTTTCAAGAGGATGAGAATATATTTACAAAGTTAAATGCAAAAATGCATAGATAAAAAGAGAAATAATCTGTCTTGAGACCTACCAAACTATAATGATAAAATAAATTGGATAAACAGGCAAAGAAAATAAGATAGTAAAAGAAGAATGGATAAAAAATTGTATGTCAACGAGAACGTTATTAGACAGAGCAACCCTGCATCATTGAAAATACACCTTCTGAATGTTCATACTACATTCTTAACATTATACCATTGTAATACTTAAGGGGCTAGGAGATATATTGTAGTTGGCATTTTGCTTGCTTAGAACGGCCAAAGCCCTAGGCTTAATATCCTGTACTATATTAAACCAGATGTGGTGGCACATTTTGTTTGTTTATTTTGAGACAAGGTTTTTCTGTGTATCCCTGGCTATCCTGGACCTTGCTCTGGAGTCTCTCTCTCTCTCTCTCTCTCTCTCTCTCTCTCTCTCTCTCTCTCTCTCTCGGTTTGTGTGTGTGTGTGTTTTCTGTCTGTGTGCTAATGCCTGCTAGGTGATGAGAAAAAATATGTTTAAAAAGCTGGATATGTTGGTGTATGCCTTTAATCTCTCAACAAGAGAAATAGCTCTCACTCAAAAGAATAAAAGAGGTGTTTCATTCTGAAGTCATATATTTGTGTGATTGTCCCAAGAACACAGATTTAATTTTCACCCAATACCATGTTCCAATCATACAGAAATTTCACATGGTTTATATAGAAAAGGAAGAACAACTTCCTCTACTGAGATACATTTTAGATATAGTGGTTTAAAGAAAGATGAGCTGGGTACAACAAAGTGGGGGAGTCTAATTTCAGTTATAGGACTTAGATACTATCTTAGGGCATTCATAGATTTTTGGGTTGATGGAAGCTAGTGGTCTGCTAAGTTAACAGATTTCAAGAGTTTTTACTTCATAGTCAGCAACAAGTTAGAGAAGACACAGAAATGGGAATGTAATGGCTAATAAGGGACATAAAGATAGCTCAAGATAAAATTTAACTAGTCTCAGGACATGCAATATTCCAACTTATTCCAGTCTTTGGAGTTAGAATCAGTTAATCAACCTTGCAGAAGATTAAAAATTCACCATACTGAGCTATCACTTTCCTGATGTAGTTTCAAAGTCTTCTGTTTCCTTCCTTGTAGAAATAATTGAGATGAAAAGCTGCAGTATTAAAAAAGTAATGAGCTCCCTTGCCTTCTTATTGTCTATACGACTTTTATTTAACTTGTAGCCTGTCTGTGAGTACTATCTATGACACATGCTGCGTCTTGCACAGAGGAGTCTTTCATGACTATGCAGACTTTGGGTTAAAGACAAATGGTGTGACTCTTAGCCTAGAATTTTTATTACTTACATCATTCTCTACAACCCCAGATGGCAATCTATCATAGATAATTCTCAGGTTGAACAAAATGCCAATTTAATATGATTCCTTATCTACACATAGGGTTGGTAACAACTTAAACCTCTCTGGCTTTTTGTAACATCAAAAGGACAGAGTAGAAATCAATTAAAACTAGCACTAACCATATTGTGATTTTTATCTCAATAATCTAATAGAGAGCTCAGAAAAATTAGATTTCAATATCAACAAGTCCATAGAAGAAGACTGATTGAGCTAGTATGGACTTGCTAATACTGAAATCAAATAATTGAACATAAGTTCTTTGAAAGATTCTTCAAAAACATGGCCATTCTTTTATTTGTATGTGAAGAAAAGCCAGAGAAACCAAACTAACAAAACACAGTCTAAAATTTGGTAATTGAAACCATTAGAAAGGCATGATCCATCTCATAGTAAAAATATATTTACAGGCTCCTACAGTCTAGGCATATAGTAGTTATGGATAAAATATCATGAAATAAAACATAGCAAATTTAATTCAATATTGATTGGCTATTATCCAAAAGAAAAACAAGTATAAATAAAAAAATAAGCCATGCCACTAAAACAGTTTTCAGATGAAGTATATTAGAGTTTCTGATACCAGAGTTATGGGTTCAGTGTTGTTTTTTTTTTCTGTGTGCTGTTAGGAGCTATGAGTCTTCCATTAAAGAAAGGCTACCAGAGAAAAACATGCTGCTGGAAGTCACTTCCAGAGTTGTCACTTCCAACTTATTTATCTAGGAAAATGTTGAGACTGTGAAATTTTAAGAAAATTGGGTGCATAGGGAATCAAAAGTAAATAGATATGTTCTTATGATTAATGAATGAAAACACAAGAAACACTTGGGTCTTTGTGAGATTTGGAGTATTGGGATGAAACTACAAACATGCACAAGGAAGAAGCTATAAGAGAGATTTGTACAAATGTGTTCATGGATGTGTGTCCTTCAGAAAGAGAGGAGAGTGAGGTAGGTATAATGAGATGGTAATGTATTAAAATAAACCTACACATGAAAAATCTAAAATGTTTTTAGAGTATCACTTTTTATGCTGTTGTATTTCATCCATTTGCAGTATTTTTTGTACCTGCTTAGAGAAAAGGACCTATTATCACTTTTCTGAGTGCTAAATCCACTGTTCCCAGTTTCATTTCCTGACGATGCTGCCACATTTCTAATGCACATTTTTGTCATCTTTATAAAAAATTCTATAACTCTGATATCATGGGCTTACATCTGGGCCCTCAGTTCTTTTCAGCTGATTGATGTGTCTGTCCAAGTTGTTTTTATTAATCCAGTTCCAGAGTATCCAACAACCTCTTCTCACTTCCACGAGCAATGCAAGCATGTTGTGCATAAAGAAGATAAAAGCACCCATTTACATAAAATAAAAACAAAGCTTTAAAATGTTAAAAACAATGAAATCAGGAAAAGCAGTGATAAACCAGTTATAGTTTGGCTAATGTGGCAAATATGGAGAAATAAGAGGAATGTGTTAACTGAGACATTTTCAATGGGAGTTTTCAGAATGGACATGTTCAATATTCAAATCTAGAGTTGTAAACTTCAGTAGGAGTTTTTATCTTTCTCTAACCATCCATATAATAATGTAGCCAAACAGACTGTGGGATAATTATAATAAGAGCCAAAAATTGCATGCTACTTCACAATTACCTCTCTACAATGTCTCTAGAAATAAATGAATTGTCAGGAAGTTGACAGCAATCCAGAAGTCCCAGAAAGGAAATACCATAAAACAATTCAATTTGGATAGAATTTTTTCTATTCATATAGTGGTGACATTAACGGTACATCTGTTTTTCACAAACATACTAGATGAAAATCCTGTTAGAACAATGAGGGAAATTAATATTGGTGTAACATATCAAATAATTTTGAATTATGTGTACAAATTAGAGAGGAAAAGGTGAATTCACATTATGTAAAGATTGAATTTAATGTTTGTGTTCCAGTAAAGAGAATTTTGGAGAAAGAGGAGTAGTGTGGTTTCTAGTGTTTGCAAACAGACTTAGACCTTTTCCTTTCTCTAGCTATTCAGTCCTCTGCCCTCTCTCCCTTTTCCCCATATTTTTACAGTTCTCTGCTCACAGTCTCTCAAAGCCTGTTCCTCTTCTCTTTCTCATTTCTTACGTCTAACTGATTCTTCCCTACCCTCTCTATCAATCAAGAACTTTGTAAGAAACCAAAGTTATTTATATTGACTCCTAAATTGATCTTTTAGGGCCAGTAAATTCTTCAGATAAGCAGAGCTCAAACCAACAGCTTGATTTGACACCTCCTACTAAGACTCTGATCAAGAACCATGCAGTAAAGTAAGTCCTTCCTGGATTTCTGATTAATAGAAAAAATGACATAACAAATGTGTTTTTTAGCTTCTAATATGTGCATGATTTCTTACATATGAATACATTTCTGGTATTTATATGGTATTCTGTCTTATGAAGAATAAACTGTAATTCCAAAAATTCACTGAACTGGAAACTACAAAATTGTTATAGGTTCAATTGAACTCTAAATATTTGACTCTTACTTCATCAGTCTGCTCTAACCCCAAACTATCAGCCACGGGAAAAACATATTTCTTTTATGTTTCTCATCTTCAATTAGTTCTTTGAGAATTTTGTATAATTCATTTTAAATATATTCACCCCCCAGATTTCTCCCAGATCCACCCCACTTCTTTACATACTCTATGCTGTGTCCTGTATTTAACAACAACAACAAAAAAGACTCATTAATTACAATTTGTACTATCAATATACTTTTGTGTGCATGTGTGTTCCTTCATACCAGGGACCACACACTTAGAAAAAACTGACTGCCTCTCTCATAAGCTATAAATTGCTAATAGCTCCTTACCTAGGGATGGTACTTCTCAGATTTCTAGACTCAAAGTATAATTGCAGAATCACTAGTAAATTGAAATAGCTGTCAAGGTTTTCATAATCATTCTACTCGTAATAGTAAAAACATCTTTTGAGTTTTAAAATTCAAAACTTCAATTCATAAAATGAAAAGGAAGCATTGAGTTTATTTAGGACAATATGACTAAAAGCTTCACTACCTAAATGGAGAGTTTCACACCCTAAATGGAGAATTTTTGAGGCCTGAAAGGGAAAATGACAGGCTAATGTGATATCCCTAGGGCCCACCAAGGAGCAAGGAATCAACTTCATCTTCGCTATGTAAAGAAAATTTTTCTAAAATTTGATGTTAATGCTTTTAGTTCCTCACAATTGCTCAGAGCTGAGGTTTGAGACCATGTTTCTCCTATTGATATCTTTATAGATTAATAATGGTATTGTTTTTTTCTGGAAAAAATCCTAATTAATGCTCTGAGAGACAATAAAAACTCACAGGTAATAGCCCTTGAGGTACACTTTTGCTTCCACCTTTTGAGTTGCATGCTTAGCCATTATGTGTGTTTTTAAATGTATCCATGTCAATTTTATTTTAATAATTTTATTCTATTGATTTTTGCATAATCTAATTATACATGAAATTAAAAATGAGAGTTGTTCTTTCTGTGAAACTTAAATGATTGGGAAAGACTTGACAGAGACAGGTTGATAAGAAAAAACTTTATAATTACATGCCTGGGAAAGATTGGAAAAGATAAAATTTTGAAACATTCTATCATTTAACCATTTCTTATATGTTTTGAAATTTATGCAAGAACTGAAAATAAGGGGAACTTTAGGCTAAAGATGATACCATACCATTTTGTTAATATGGAAATGATCATGATAATATAGCAAAAAAATCCATACTCAAATAAAATCCTTGAGAGAAAAATGAAGCTGAGAAAGTGATAGAGTTCTATTTATATTACTGTAACTTGAGGTAACTTGTCTTAGTTAAATATTTGTCATTCTCAAATAATTGCTAGAGTCACCCAATGTGCTTAATAGTAAAAAAAATATTGATTAAAATTTTATCAGACACATTTCAGACCATATATACTTTAGATGTTTCATGAATTAGTGAATGGAAAATCAGATGAGACAGGTATAACAAAACATCTTATATGATAAAAGTATTTACTAATCTATTTGTAAATTTGTCAACATTCACTTAATTGAGAACTAAATTTCAACTATTTTTTATCAGTGTGTAGTTAGAGAATAACTAAACTAAAATAAAGTATATCCAAGTCTCTCTTGTTTCATATTTTTGGCAGAGTACATTTTCTCCTCTTGGTATCTTGTGAAAGTTCTCCCTTGGTAGTTCTAGATGAGT